GAAATACTTTGAGCCATTATGGAAAGCTAATCTAATTTTACCCTTTTTTATTATCTCATTAAATATCATTAATCTAATTTGACCATTTTGCCCTTTTTTTATTATCTCATTAAATGTCATTAATCTAATTTTGGAATCACATTAATTAAGATTCTTTTCAATTTTAACCATTGATATTTAAGATGTGTGGTTGAGATTGGTTCTCACAGTTACCACAAACAACTCAGTTCTCATTTGATTAAGCCCCTATATATATATATATATATTATACATATATACATGGAAAATTTATTACTAATTCTCGGGGTTGGGATGAAGGGTATCCCGTCACTAGTCAATTCAGGGATTTCCCGGTTAAAAACGGGTTCTATATTGGGTTACCCGTCGAAAACGATTTTTTTTTTGCCATCCCTCTACTTAGACTTACCAAAAAGTTATTGCTTAAAATACCTTTTAAAATTATAGATCTATCTAATATTAGCGACAAACTTTCTTTTATAACACTTGATTATTGGATCAAATTACTTGGCGTTTACAAGAGCATTGGGTTTGCGGGGCGGGAATAGACGGAGATGGTTGGTCATTGGTGGGTTGCTTGTTTGGCGACGATGGGGTTAGACCGGAGACGTTTAGTGGGTTGCTTGTTTGGTCGATGATAGGATTTGGTTGATACTGATGTGGTCTTTTAAAACTTGGCAAAACAGGCCCCTGAAACAATTATAAAGTTCATAAAGAAAGGACAGAAATTCCCCCAAGTTAACGGAGGATTTTGACGGTTGTTAACACGAACGACTTGAGCCGTAACAAAAACAAAACCATTGCGACCGTCCCTGTACTTATTTCAATTCAGGAATCCAATCCATAATTTCCACCAAACTATAGGGATGAAATATGTAATTTACTCTACATAAAATTTAAAGAAAGAATAAAATATAAATAGAAAAATGTACTCATCTTTTAGAAGAAAAATATGTTTTATTTTGAGGTTATATTGGTAAAACATAACTAGGAATGGCAACGGGCCGGGTTCGGGCCGGGTATTAGTATCCCCGTCCCCGAAACCGATAACTAAAACCGTCCCCGTAACCGTCCCGATCCCCGTCGGGGATCTTATCGGGGATCCCCATCGGGTCCCCGATCCCCATTGGGGAACCCGTTAAGGGTAAAAGTTCTCTTTTGCATCGTTGGTTATAATCGAACCCGAACCCGAACCCGAAACCCGAAACCGATATTGAAAAAATTACAATATGTTAATTTTCACAATTAAAAGTAAATTACAATTTTTTTAAAGATCTAAGTTTAAATGTCTCAAACATAATTGAACTATTTACAAACAATGTATTAGATTACAATATAAAACTAAACAAAAATTCGAACATCATACAACTAAAATAACGGTTTTTGACAAATAAACTAGACTTTTCGTGAGCTTTATTTGGGTTGTTGAGGTAAAGTGGATAAATTTTATTTAAATTTTAATGTTACTTTTTTTAAAGATATTATATATATATATATATATATATACATATCGGGCCGGGCCGGGCCGGGCCGGTGATCACCGTCCCCGCCCCCGTCCCCGTCCCCGTTAAAATCCCCGAAATCGTCCCCGATCCCCGTCCCGTCCCCGATAAAATGTCCCCAAACCCGGCCCGAAAGTTTCGGTTTTCGGTTTTCACCGTCGGTTTCGGTTTTTTTTGCCATCCCTAAACATAACTTTGTTCCATAGGACGTGTTCCACTCCCTGTTTCACATAAAAATATTGTCAAACTTGGAACAATGATTTTTGCGCTCTTCTATTATATCTTGTCCATGTACCAAACACACTTTATTGGATGAACATGAGAAAACTAATATTATCCAGTAAGAACAATAATAAATATGAGAAGTCTTACTCTATAAACACTTACTGGTTAAATTATTGCATATGATACCATTTTAATAAACTATAATACTACCAGGTAAAGTAAGTTAAAATCTTAACCCTTACCATTAGACACTTGGCAAATAAAGTTTGGGTAAACAACCCTAAGGGGCATTTGGTTCGTAGATTTTGAAGGAATCCGGTGGAATTGGAATGTTGAATTCTATTGACCAAATTTCATTTTCTCGTTTGGTTCAAACTTTTTCATGAAAGGAATCTTCAAAATTCAACAAATTCTACAAATTCCACAAATAAAAAAAATTTAACGTTCCTTAGCAACTACGTGGTATTTTGATGGAATGAAATTCTCCATCGTCATAATACCAAATATGCTCTTAACTCAATATATCTTAATCTCATAAAACCCAATATAACAATCGTCGACCACCTCCGACCACCGTCGATCTGAATCATCACCGACCACCGCCATCTGAACTACCGTCGCCGACCACCGATATGAACCATCGATCTGAATCATCATCGATCTGAACCACCGTCGATCTGAACCATCATCGATCACCATTCGATCTGAACCACTGTCGACCATCGCCATCTGTACCACCACGGACCACCATCGGTCTGTACCACCGCCAACTATTACAAATCTGAATCACCGCGGGGCACCACCGATTTGAACCACCGCCGACCATCACCGATCTGAACAACCACCGATCTGGACCACCCCCGATCTGAACCACAGTCGATCTGAACCACATCCGACCACTGCCACTTGAACCACCACGGACCACCACCGATCTGAACTACTACCGACCACCAGTGACTACCATCAATTGGAACAACCACCAATCTGAACCACCGCCGATTTGAACAACCACCAATCTGAACTACCGCCGCCACCGCCGATCTGAACCACCGCAGACCACCATCGATCTGAACCACTGTCGACCACCGCCATCTGAACCACTGCGGATCACCATCGCCAACCACCGTCGATTTAATAACGTCGTTTGACATATGATTATATTTGGATTGTGTATTTTATATTGTTTTACATATTAAATAATTATTATTTAAAGTATTTTTAGTTTTAAAATAATAAATTTTTTTCAAAAAAGACATTTTGGTCATTTATCAATATTTCATTTCAATTCCAAAACAACATTTTATGAACCAAACATACAGATTTCATTCTCTTAACATATTCCGTTCCAATATCTATCAACCAAACAAATTATCAAACCTGACAATATTTCATTTTAATTCTTTCAAAATCAATTCTCTTTAACTAAATCCATTGAAAATCATTCTACAAACCAAACTCCAGCCAATTCCAAATTAGCTATTGATACTTTGATAGAGTTATTTTTATATTTTTATAATTTACCTTTTTATATTAAAATCCAAAAATGTCCTAAGAATAATACCTTTAAAATATATATTTTAAGGGTTAAATGCATGAAATAGCAACCTACTTTCATAAAATTTCTTATTATAGCATTCTACTTTTGTTTTTCTTTATTACTGCAATGTACTTTCAAATTATTTTTTATTAAGAGATTGTACTTTAAAAAATCTACCCATAATAGCAATGGGTAACCTGTTACCTTTTAAACCGGTTAACTCTTTGACTTTTTTGCTTGTGTGGCTTTAATGAGGTGATGTGGATGCCACATCATTTTGATGACTTAACTAAAATTAAAATAAAAACTTATTTCAAATTATTATTAGTGATTTTCATTTTTCATTGCTATGATCTAAAAAAACATTTAATTTTTTTTAATTTTTCTTATTAAGTTGCATTCAAATTAAATATTATTAGAATAAAATATTTATTAAATAAATATGAAACATTATTTTCGAGATATACTTTGTTTGTAAAAAAGATAAAGTTTCCTATTTTATGTTGTTCAAATAAATACATATCTTTTAAAGTTCTCTTTAAAATATTAACGAAATAAATTGTTATCTATATTTTTTAATATTGTTATATTAATAAACAATTCAAAAAAGTCTAATTAATTTAATATATTTATACGTCAAGTAAAAAGTTTTTGAACAAATATAATATATTATTTAAAAGATAATTTTTTTTTGGTAAAAAAATGAACAATTCTTATTTTCCTTTTTTCAAAAAACACATATTTTTTAAAAATGTTAGCGAGATAAGTTGTGTTCTACTCGTTTTATTGATATTGATATATTAATGAATAATTTAGAATTTTTTTAATTCATTTAATACATTTATTAAATAACATGTAAAATATCTAAATATTAAAATTAAAAATATAGTGTTTAATAAGAACTAGTAAATGCTATAATAAAATAATTTTGAAAGTACAATGATATGGCAAGAAAATCACATCATTATAGTACATGTGGATAGCCTACGTGGACAATGAGGTGGCATGAAAACCTAGTATAATGAGTAAATTTAAATTAAAAGGTTACCCAATGCTATAATGGGTAAATTTTTCAAAGTACATTGTCCTAATAAAAATTAGTTTGAAAATACATTGCTGTAATAAGAAAAACTGAAAATACAATGCTATAATAAAAAAATTTATGAAAGTAGATTGCTATTTTGTGTATTTTGTCCTATATTTTAATATCAAACGTGTGTGTGAGCACATAATGACAATCACCAGTCCACCATACTCATGTTATATCACCCCACGTGGTGTTTTGCATGTCTTTGATCATCTTACGTGTCCCCCACCCCTCTCTCGGTCTCCCAAATATCAAACTCTCTCTTCTCTCTATCTCCGCAACCGCCCTCGAACACTCCACCAATGTCCGATCGGAGCATCGTCGCCGGCCAACTCCATAGACCACCAAGACCCACCACCGCCGGCGATGGTGGACAATTCATGCGTACATTCCGTCAACGCTCACTCAACTCAACCCAACTAATGGGTATCTTAACCCTAGTCGTCTCCGGCGCAATCTTGCTCCTCCTCACCGGCGTCACCATCACCGTTACCGTTCTTGGCCTCATCTTCTTTTCACCCATCATCCTTCTCACCAGTCCCATATGGGTCCCGATCGGCGCCCTCCTCTTCGTCGTCGTCGCCGGATTCCTCTGTGTTTGCGGAACCGGCTTGGCCGCCGCCGCCGCCGTGTCTTGGTTGTACAAGTATTTCAGAGGGTTACACCCAGTGGGTTCAGACCGGGTCGACTACGCCCGGAGCCGGCTTGCGGATACAGCGAGTCACATGAAGGATTACGCAAGGGAATACGGTGGGTACTTCCAGGGTAAGGTGAAGGACGCCGCTCCCGGTGCTTGAAGGTGGTGGTGAACCGGTCGGAAACATCAAGAATCGGTGGAGAGATGGTTGATAGCCGGATTGTCCATCTTTTAGTTTGTATTCTGGTGTGTATTTCCTCCATCTTCTTTTTTCTTACCAGTAAAGCTCTGTCCAGTGTTTGAAGGATAAAAAATCCAGTGTTATATGCTATAAAAACTTGTATGTACATTTTGCATTGAACATTTTATTTTGGGCATAAATCTGATGGCCTAAATCAAACCAGATGCATTACAGAAGTTAGATCAGTTTCGGATCTACCACATACTACAGAGAACTGATTATTGCGACATGATCACAAGTTTAATTAACACATTGAAACACCTTTTAAGAAGCTAAATCCAGATTGCATCCGATGATTCTTTGGAAAAAGAACCCAATCACTTGAAAATGGTACTGTGCATCTAAATGATCTAATAAACCTTATTGGAGTTGTTGTAAATTGTATTTTGTCGAATATTGAATGGTACGCCTAGACACTTTGTGGAGTGTAAACTATGTAACCAACGCCAATTGGAAATACTCATAAAGTGTTGTTTATGGCCGCCATGGACGTCAATCGTCAAATAGAACTTCAAACTTTTATTCTCCATACTGATGATTTGATTATTTAAAATCAGTTGTTTTTCCTGTGTGTGTGTGTAAATGGAGGACGCTTGACGTAATACGCTTAGTAGTGCGTGTGTTTCTTCATGTGCAGTCCAGGATCTCTTCTTTTTCGCAGGAATTCTCTATGAAGTGTGATGTATAATTTTAATGAAATCGATGATAAATTATGAATTAAATTGATGTAAACAACTAGAAATTGAACAGAAGCTTTGATAAATCGATTTGAACCGAATTAGATCAGATCAAACTAGTTCCTGGATCGATTCAATTCGCTTAAAACCTATCCAAATCGAAACTGAATAGATTTCTTTTTGTTTTTTCAAACTTAGAAACTTAAAACTGCTTTTCATACTCCTAGAGGCTTCGAATACGGACACAATTGCAATAGATTGACATACCTGCTTCTCCTTAGCTCTTTCTCGTTTCAATTTCATCACCACACTTCCACCAATCGGCTTCTTCGTTGCACGTATTCATCATCTCCGGATCTGTATCTCGTCTACTCGAACTCGCTATCTCGCTTGCTCGGCTGCTCGTGTCATAGGTGGTCGTTGTTGCATCTCCGCCATGTACTTTGCCGACGCCCTGCACTAATGTGCTGTGTTGAGGTGAAAACTTGCAGACTTGCAGTTGAAAAGCGAAGCCCAAGTGAGACTTTAGAAGCCCAAAAATCAATTAGCCCAATTTGCTGATACAAAAACCAGGCTTAGATTAAAAAAAAAATGGCTGCACTGTATTAGCTTCTTTTACGGCTTTGAACCAATGTAAAATGACAAAACTATCCTTTCTATTTTTTTTTTGTTAACTCTTTAACGATGATACTTATGGGTGTTCACGGTTCCGTTTAGTTTATGTTAATAAGGAGACTGGGAACCGAACCACATAAAGTATCTCTTCCTACCTGAACCAAAATTTGAACCGTAGGTTGAACCAAATTCGACGATCAAGAGCGGTCTGATCCAAAAAGACCCTTTAAGAATGGTTTGCATGGGGGCTGAATAAAGAAGATCGTTTCTACTAAACTTTGAGATAGAGGATACTTTAAGGATATTTTGTCATGATCCCTATCTTGGTTGCATTCTTTATCCTGGAAAGCTAGTCTAATCTCCGCCCCGGCCTCTGGGCAGTCTTTGATCATCTTGCTAGAGATGCAATTGCTCATGATTCAGTTGCTCGAAGCGCAAACCGCTCTTCGATCTCCCAGTGAGTTGGACGGGAAAAGACATAGGTGGACCCTTCGAGAGTTGTAGGTCCTTGTCGCTGCATGAGCATTAGCTCATTCTGAGGCTTTCCAACCAACCCTGTTGACTAGGAGTATTCAACCCTCCATTCGCAAAGACTATATTGAATAAAAACCTTGGTGATTTCACCCACTAATGGCATCTTACCATCCTTGCTACCATTAGGGGGGGGGGGGGGGGGGGGGGGGGGGGGGGGGGGGTTGTTTCGATAAAATACAAGATATCGTTGTATTGTTGTAAGTTTCCTGTTCCAAACATTTCCTTCAAGTAGACGACTAGTTTTAAATCATATTGCCGATTCGAGTACTTTTTTCACTAAGCGAGAAGGGCCCCTTTATCGTCAATCGGACAAGCACAAATCACTCCAGCAGACATTTTGTTATGGTGGAGAGGGGATGACGTAGTAATCGTGGATGAGAATGTCACGACTCGAACCGAAATAAGGCGGTTACCTACGATTTGGCTCACAATTACGTGAATTTATAAAAAATATCATTCACAATATATATTGATACTTGTTTATATTGTAACATTTAAAGTACTGTTGTTCATGGATGGGACCGCCCGCTCGACTCGCTGAAAAGCGAGTTTGGATTACCCCTTTTCGAAGAAATGGGCAGACCTGGATTGTCGTTTTTAAAATTAATGGGCAAAGCAAAAAAATTGGGCAGACCCATAGGTCCGTTAATACTTTAACAATTAATTAACTTTTATAATTAAAATCTACAAATAAAAAAGTCTTGATATTTACACTCATGATAATAAAACTTTTTGGAAATTTAAAAAAGGATAAACTTAATCCTCAATTAATAAATTCTTTATAATCTCATTTGATCATTTTATTTATCGATACTACATATTTTGCAAAACAATTTTTTTATATATAAATTATGTACATTTTTATGTGTTTACGTCTAATTTTAGCCCTGTTATCCCATGGGAAACTCGACCCATTTATAGGATGAGTTAGGACAAATTTCCAAGCCCCCAAAAAAAGGCTTGGATTTGCTATATTAGGTTTGTTGGACAAGAAAAACAGGTTAGATCCGATCCAAACCCGCGAATTATCAGCTCTAATTTAAAAACTAGCAGTTTTTGGTAAGTATTAACCATTAATCATTCTTTTACGTAATGTTTCGTATTACAGGGGGCGATGTCAAGAAAAGAAACAAACAGGGAAAGGGACATCGAGGGGCACAGCTAAAGGCCCTTTTGTTAACAACTTAATGAGCTTTACGAGACTCACAATTTATTCGGTAAGTTATACATAATTATTTGGTAGTGTCTTAATGATATAGAAATGAGTTTATTCAATAAGCTTTTATAAGGGAGTTTTTTTTATATAGAAAGTCAAGCGTTTTTCAAATCTGTCTTACCAAATTAAAGATCACGCTTCTCTCGTTTATGAAAAAAGAACATTTAAGCATACAAATACATTATTCTATACAGACAATTTTATCCGTACAAGACTTAATGAAAAATCGACCAAACCGCCCCTAATTTGCAATGTTCCAATATTTTTGAAGATAAAGCTACCTTTTATAGTTCATAAATCCGAAGTATTGTCAGTAAAGCTACCTTTTATAGGTCTATAATCAGGAATCTTGCAATATTTTTGGAGGTCTTGCTACACCTAAAACTATTGATTACAATGTAAAATAAGATAACAAACATACATATATACAAATTACAAAGACGATGATGAAACATATTACTTTTGTTTGATAAAAATTAGAGAGACACTGGGGTAGACTGTGGTTTCTATAGATGATTTGTTGAATAATAGTATTTAAACTTAAAATCCATGTTAAATAAAATTTTATTAACAATTATTTGGATTATTTATTATAATATGTATTTAGAAATATCATTTATTAGAATTGAAGTCTAAAAGAGGTTATTATTTGCACTCCTATCTATTCAAAAATAAAAAAAATATCTAGTAAATAGCATTAAATGGTCTTAAGGTAGCGTTTGGTATGCAAACATGATTGTACAGCACAAGACAAGACAAGAGGGTAGGAGTGGACAGGACTAGACGGAACAGGTGTGGATAGAACAAGAGTATGTCTGGTGTTTGTTACAACTAGGTATAGTACATATGGACAACTTATGTGGACAATGAGGTGACATGAAAACTTGATATAAAATGTACAATGTTGTAATAAAAACTGGTGGATGCTATAATAAAATAATTTTGAAAGTACAATGTTGTAATAAGAAATGTCATATCAGTTATAGTACACATGGACAACCTATGTGGACAATGAGGTGACATGAAAACCTCATATAAAAGGTGAATTAGATCAAAAGGGAATCCAATGTTATAGTAGGTAAATTTTTCAAAGTACAATGTCATAATTAAAAATTAATTTAAAAATACATTGCTGTAATAAGAAAAACTGGAAGTATAATACTATAATAAGAAAATCTATGAAAATAAGTTGCTAATTTGTGAACTTTGCCTTATAAAAAAGAATATTATTGTAATAAAAATATATAGAAGATGTATTACTATATAATACTAATTATTATTATAATAAATATAAAATAATGTTAATGTTGAAAAA